CTACTACCTACTACCTACTACCTACTACCTACTACCTACTACCTACTGCCTGCTTACTACTTACCATCGCTCACTACTAACTAATGTCGACGCCGGATTAATCAACCCCCCCTTCAAGGTCAACAAGGTCAACAAGGTTTGGGATTTGAGGGATTGGAGACCACATCCCCTTAAGAAAGGTGATGACTTGATGATGGATGGTGAGATGAGGACCTGGACCTGATGATGGGTGATGGTTGATGGGATGGTGTGTGAATCATGAGAGTTTGAACCATGAGAACCATGAAGGGTCTGAGTGTATGGGCACAAGTTTGATCAGAGATTAGATAGGATTGATCAGAGAGCCATGCCAATTGGATCATTGCATATCAGAGCATGGAGGATGAGGAATGGGAGGTGGAGGCTGTTTGTGGTGAGGGGTGTATCCATGGACTGGATGGTCTGATGACTGGTGGCCTGTGGAGGATTGATATGACCTTATGGCCTATGCCATATGTTTCAGAAATTGAGCTGGATGTCCACATTCTCTATCCCGACCTGGAATAAGTTTGCTGTGCTTGGTGAGGGTGTGAGCGATGAAGACGTGGGTGACATTGGTGAGTATGAGGGTGCTCCATTTGATGAGCACTTTGAGGTGTATGAGCAAGTTGAGGAGAGTCATGCTCCATGTGATGATCGCTCTAAAATAAAAATGAGAAAGCGCCCAATCAGTGGTTTGATTGGGCAGATTTGGACGAGAAGGAAACTGAATGGGGAAACCATGGGATTGGGAAACCATTTGGTGATATTCTCTTTGATTGGGAAGAATTGGAGAAGGAAGAGGATTGCAGGATGAAAGCATTGGAAGACAAGAATAAGGCCAGAGGGTGGGCTTGATTAATGGTGTCCTACTATTGGGGGGAGGTAGGGCCTGTGTGAGGGGTACTCTTTCTGAGCTTGAAAGCATTAAGATCTTGATAGAGTTTTAACAGGGGAAAACGAACGGCTTTTGCTAGAGAGTTTTTTGGTTTTGTGGTTTTGGGGGGTGGTTGGTAGCGTGAGCCCTTAGGAGAAGCCATCAAAGGGATTGGTGAGCAGGATGGGGCAGTTGAGAGGTGGTGATGAGAATGAAGAAGATTAGATGAAGACGCGTGGTAGTACTAGAAGTAGTAGTAGTAGTAGTAGTAGTAGTAGTAGTAGTAGTAGTGGGTTTGTACTTCGTGGTTAGTACTGTTGACAGAGGATTAAGTAACCTCCCCTTATGAATCAAACCCAGCTCGAGCCCCCAATACTAAACTATATAAGTAAAACCTGGTACATCACCCTAATCACCTTTTTTCTGGCAGAAACCTCCCCTATAAACCAAGCCCAGACCCTGCAAAAAAAATATAATTGGCTAGTATCCAATATCTTCTGGTCCATGGTGAAACTGATCTTCTGATCTACCCTTGTCTCATGCCATCTCTTTGACAGAAAGCATGCTGATCCACCCTTTTCCCATGCTGATCCTCAATTTTCTTGCCATAGTTTTCATTTTCTTCCTACTCGTTCTCCCACTCCTACTCCTACTGCTCCTCCTCCGCTTCCCACTATTACTACGACGACGACGACGACGACTACTACTATATACTACTACTACTACGACGACTTCTACTCCTACTCCTTCTCCTGCTCCTCCTGCTCCTCCTCTTGCTGCAATTCTTTTCAACAAATGCGAGGTTGTTTCTCTCAGAATGATAGGAGTCAGGTGGCCCTCGGTCTCAGCCTCTCCAGCGGCCAGGAGCAGCTGGAATATTGCTTTGAGATCGTTAGTACGGGCAACTTGGCCTGGTCGGGTATGGAAAAATCAGGCAAACAATATATTGTGCTACAGTGGACGTAGGCACTCAATGACTTATATAATGGCAATAGTTACTCTCTGTGGGTGCATTCTCAACTGTCTATAAAAATAACTGCCATGTTTGGCTCAAATTGGCCACAGTTTTCACAAAATGATCACAGACGACCACAGGTGAATGTCCAGTAGTTCCCTCAAAGGGATCCGAAGGTTTTTGTAGAAAAACACTATATACTTTAGTGCAGAACATCTAGGTCCTACTCAGGTCAGTCTTAAGGCATGGGATATTAAAACCATAGTATGATGATGTAGTATGCAAAACTACAGCTCAAACACAAATTTGCAAGGATTCTGTGAATGATTCAAGGATTGATTGAAACGCCATTTCAACTTTTGAACTCAACATTTGGAGCACCGCCAATTCATTCGATCTTCCACCCCCTTGCCGTGCGTTGGAACCCAGATCTTGTTCTCGCATGTTGTCGCCATTGGTTCCATATCTGGAGAGTGAAACCAGGAACTTGGACATTTTAGGTGAGCAGTTTCTGGAAATAGCCAACAGGGGGGCGACGCATAAACAATGACGAAGTATGTCAGAAGTGGATCAGGCGCGAGGCTGGCGGTGGAGATCCCGCTGCTCTATTTGGATCCAGAGGTCTCTGGAGGCGTGGTGGTCGACTGTTCTTCTCTTTTGTTCTATCATCCAAAGATCTGGAAATGCCAACAGGTAGCTAGTCTTTTTTTCTGTCATGACTGACCTGCAACATGCGAGTCTTTTTTCTGACCCGACC